AATTATGACTAATCATGGGTTTGCTGTTTTTGAGAAAAAGATTTTTTCTCATGTATTCCTATGCTAAACTTTGATATCCCATTGTGGCCCCATCCTACCCCGGGGCCATGATTCAAACAAATTTGAATCTTCACTACCAGAGGATGCTTCCACATGAGTTTCATCTTTCCTGGCCCAGTTTCCTATGTATTCCTAAGTTAAACTTTGATACCCCATTGTGGCTCCAACCAACCCCAAGGGGGCCTCGCTGTGAACAAACTTGAATCTACACTACATGAGGATGCTTCCACATGAGGTTCATCTTTCCCGGCCCAGTGGTTCTTGAGAAGAAGATTTTAAAATATTTTTCCTATGTATTCCTATATTAAAATTTGATACCTCATTGTGGCCCCACCCTACCCTCGGGGGTCAAGATTTGAACAAACTTGAATCTATACACCATAAGGATGCTTCCACATGAGTTTCAGCTTTCCTGGCCCAGTGGTTCTTAAGAAGAAGATTTTCAAAAGATGCCATTAATTTTTCACTTATTCACAATTATCTCCCCTTGGAGTAGGGTATGGACCTTCATTTGAAAAAAAACTTGAATCCCCTTTACCCAAGGATACTTTGTGCCAAGTTTGGCTGAAATTGGTCCAGTGGTTCTTGAGAAGAAGATGAAAATGTGAAAAGTTTACAACAACAACACTGACGACGACAACGACAGACAACGGACAAATTTTGATCAGAAAAGCTCATTTGAGCCTTTGGCTCAGTGAGCTAAAAACTAGTGTACAAAGTCAAGAAATCTCCAGCCCCTCTATAAAACTGAATTTTAAAAAAAGGTCTCTGACCATCTAAAACAAAAGATATTGATAATTAATGTTCACATTTTCTAGGATAACCCTTGTAAGAAGTTCTTTTTGATGATTAATTATGAAAAATAATAATCGATCATCAGAATCAGTAGCATTTTTTCGTTAAAAATTGATGTTTTCTGATCATCAATACAACGTATACACTACAAGCAGTTCTATTTTAGTTCCTAAGATGGTAAAATATTGTCCGAAAAGTGTGAAAGCATTGCTTGTTAGCTGTCAGTTTTAAACATCAATTTAGTATGAGGATATTCTATCTCTGAGTACTGGTATTAAAAATCTAAAAGAAATAATATTGTAAAAGATTATGAAATCTTTTAAAATGCATATGATTTGTGTTTTCTGTTATTTGTTTTATATTTGAAATATGTTACAATGCTTTACCATAGGATGAATTAATTCATTAAATATCATACAGTTTTAAGTCTCAAAAATGTTTTTGCCATTTGATGCTTGAAAAGTTGCAATTTGATTTCGGCCATATATTACTTTCTTGATGTATACAGGAAAAATGTCCACATGTGTTAAACATATGTTAAACATGTGTTTAACATATATTTTTTACACATGTAAAACACATAAAAAGAGCACATGTGTATAGGGTGTTTATTTTTACACGTTAAACACATGTTTCACATGTGTTAAACATGTGTAAAAATAAACACATTGTATATTTATACATATGAAACATGTGTTAAACATGTGTTTTATACATGTTATACTTTATATGTGAATTATACGTGTATAATATTACTGTTGTACTTATTATCATTTTTATACTTTTTTCATGCCTGTCCACATATGTGAATCATATGAAAAGGGCAGCATATGTAAATCATATGAAATAGTTACATGTGTTCTCTTTCAATATTTATCACAAGGAAAAACACATTCTTGTACACATTTAAAAATCAGATATTTCTGCTTTAGATGAAAATCCATTACATTCCAATGATCTATCTTCATGGGTTAAATATTTGAAAATAAATATTTTAAAATGCTTACACAACTTTTTTGATAAATTATTTTCATCAAGAGAAATAACTTATTTTTCAGTGTACTTTCAAAACAGGAAAGTATACAAACAAGTCAGTAGCATTTGTCGATACATGTATTTTACATATTCTAAGTTGAGTACAAATTATATAAGATTTCCACAAAATGATTAAATAGTTAAACATGCATAAATGTACAAATGAATAACATAATTAGTCCATGTACTTGTTTATAAATATGATTTGACATGAAATTGTCCAAAGCAAAATTGAAATATCACATATAACATTTGTCATGTATTATCTATTCTAAATTTATGAAAAATCAAGTTATTTGATATTACAGCATACAAATAAGAATGGGAATTAAATCTTTACAGGTCAAATGCAGACAAGATTGTGTACATCCTCCCAATTTCATAATTATTTCATATATTTTCTTGTTCTTTTTCCTTCTGTATCTTTTAGTTTTCTTCAGTTGTCCTCCCTCTGATCTTCCATGAGTTTGACCTTTTTGAACTCTGTTTGAACTGTATACCCAAAATGCAAATCCACCATTTCTCCCTTTCCTGAACAATTTCTTTGTGGCACAGAATGGTCTCTACAAAAATTTCAAAAGTAAAAATAAAATAATTCTTAAATTACAAAATCAATTCTACAAGTAATCACCCATTCTCAATATAAGGGCTCAAATAATGTCGCCTCATTTTCATTTAGAAGAAATACCACTGATGTAATTTTTAAATCAACATTATAAATAGTCATATACCAATGAATAAGAATTCATATAATTATCGATCCGAAAGGGTATTTAAGGAGTTCCAAATTCAAATATAGTAGCCTATTTGAAATGTACGTTACTGTCGCCGAGGCAAATATTATGCTGAATCCCCTCTGTGTAATATATAGTTTTGATTCTCAAGTAAAAATTTTCTGATAAGTTAAACCTTGTATCATACATATTTCTTTTCATAACAATAAATACATTTTCTTTGTGATAATAAATAATTTTTATTGTGCAATGTCCCTGTCGCTTAATTCTATTTCAACCACATTACAAGCAAACACAAAGATTATACACCTGATAGTTTTGTTCTCCTTTATTTATTGATGGGCTAAATTTGAAATTTCAAAGGATTAATTACTCCTACTTAGATAATGTAACATGAAATTGAACAATTTGAGCAACTTTTATAAATATGTTTACGGAATGAAAGACATTTTCAATCGTAGAGATAAGAAAGAAATGTACGTTACCTATATTCTTCCATTAAGAATATATATTAAGTAGAAAATATGAGACGACTGAATAAGCAACCCCTTGTATCCTGTAAACTGGCAAAGACGTTTTGCATAACACAATTAAAAATTGTTTTTTTACATGAAAAGTGATCATTTGAAATGTACGTTACTGAAATGTACGTTACCATGAAATTCGAATTAAGTGAGTCTCGCACGAATTTTCATGTATTCTCATACTTTCACACACTCGAATGTGTACACAAAGGAAAGTTTCAAAGGTTGGAGGTCGGCTAAATCCCAAAATTAATGAAAAGAAACGTTTCTGCGGAGGAAAAAAATATATTAAGATAAATTAAATGTAATATAATTTTGATACCTGGTATATATTTCTGGATACGAAACCTGTATGATGCATTTCTTATGATATGCAAGTTCAAATAGTATCAATATATTGCGTGTCTAACGTACGCTTGTGGAAGAGAATTGATTTTTATATTTGAAATGTACGTTACGTATGGTAACGTACATTTTGCGTATTTCTAACTGACATTTTTTTTTATTTAGTCAATGAATATCGTTACAATCCATTTGACAACTGACCACATAAATCCATCTAAATGCACCCCCAATCCTCGTAAATGTGGTAGACTGTTACCACATGCTAGAAAATTTATTTCTAAGTGTCTTAAATTCATTTTTGGCAACCTTTTTGCAGTTTGTTTACTTTTAATATGCGACTTTTCATCAATATTAATTTAATTGTTGTTGATAATTTAAAACAAGGTATGCATAGGCTTATAATTGGTAAAAAAACCAAAACAAAACAAAACAAAAAGAAAAAGAAACAAAACAAATAAATCCAGAACACAGGACGGTTACATTTCAAATACTGAAAGGCACACAATACTCAGTTTTGTTTGAATCACTGCATTTTGGGTTATATTTTTCCAGATCTGCTGAAAAGCACGTATGTTTGTGTTTTGACAAACGATGTTGCAACATACTAAATGAAATTGTTAACAAGACTGTCGATGGATATATTCGGAATAGATTTATGTTAAGTTTCAATGGCCACGAGCATTTGTTAGATCATAGCAAAATACGTCTGACACTTATTTTTTTTTTGTCTGTACCCTTGCACACAGGTAGAAGTAACTAAGCTACGATCGGTGTCAATTTCAGCGAAACAGCACAAAAGAATGGTAATGAACTGAGGTGGAGGGGACTCCCCAATAATATGTGAAATGAACGTTACCGAAGTGACGTGACATTCATGTAGTTGATGACAAATAACCTCGTTTGTTACACTATGATTTCTTATATTACTGCGTTAAAACACTTCATTGAAATGATTTTTATGTCAATAATTGCTTTTTTTTCAATATTTTCTTATTATTAATTTACATACTATTACAAGCTTGAAATGTACGTTACCTAATCATATTTTGAGGCAATCTTGTCTTTATAGTGGTGATTGTGACATACCGGTATAACACAATGTGATTACATAGAGAATCTTTTTTGGAATAAACTGAAACAAAACGATGAATGTTTAGATGAATTTTAAGCTTTTTATTAAACAGAAATATATCTTGAAATGTACGTTATATTTACGTAGTTTTCTAAATCGGCATGTATATATGTTAAAAAAGACAGTAACTACAAAATAGAATTTTACTACATGTACATGTTAAGTTCCAGTATCTGAATGAATGTAAGCAGTTACAAATATGTTAGGCTAAAGGCATTACTATTTTTTATAATTTGTATACAGGTAAGTAATTTTGGATAAATTTGTTTCTGAATGAACGTACATGTTAGGCTATTTTTTAAAGGCATTTTCCTTTTGTTACGTACTGATATGAAAGTGAAAGTAGAAACCTTGAAACCATTGTGACTGTCAGTTGGTGTTTATGTATGTTGAGATGGCTGTCAAGTCGATTCTTTCATCAACTTAATAACAAGTGTCTGTTTTTATGGCCTATAGATGCATGCAGTAATTTAATTTGAGTTCAGTGTCATAGTGCTGCGTCTAAAAAGCCCAAAGCTGATAAGACTGGTGATTGATCCTAAAGCTGATTTGACAGATGATTGCATCATCGCAATATTAAAGGTAAAAATAAATACTTGCAATAAAAAATCAAATGACTTCGGGGGGGGGGGGGGGGTGGGGGGGGGGGTTAATTGAATTCTTGAATTTCAGTTAAAAATTAATAATAACAGTGACATCCAACTTTCAAGGTACAAGTACATGTTCATATGTGTTGATTGTTGAAAGTACATCTGCTAGCTAATCCATTGGATATTTACATCTATTATGTACCTGACATTTATAATTTTTTTCCAACACTAGAGAACATAGTTTCTGGTAAAATGTAAGATATTAATTAAGACTATTAAGAACCTACAAACATGTACTCTCTCTTTTTTGTAGTTGTAGTTTTGTAGTTTAATTAAGTTTTAGTTATGCTTAGAAGATATCTACTGCATGAATATTTGTTTTACAGGTTCAATATACAGTCAGCGTCTCATAAGAATAAATCCCAAGATCCAAGACTTGCTTAAAAGCTTAATTAAGGTAACTACACACTGTTAAATAAACTTTGTTATATTCTTCCCAACAACGTTTGGGATATCCTGGAATCACACTGTCTGTTTTTCTGCCTGTCTACTTCTCTGTAGTATTTTTTGTCCAAAAATAAAATATTTGTATCAGAGTCTTCTTAATTTTTGGCAATATGAATTAGTAATACTGTTTGAACATTCCAAATTTAATTGTCAAAATCCAAAAAAAAATTGCTTTTTTATGACTTTATTATGAAACATATCTTCCAACAGTGTAATTGTCTTGCAAATTACATCATAAGATTCCACAGAACACCTAGTATAACATATATAACATTAGTTTTATCTTGTATCATATATGTGTTGGTGAATTGGGCATACATGTGTTTGCTGAACTTTAATATTCACCCATTCTCAATATAAGGGCACAAATGCCTCTCTGATTTTTAAAAAAATGAAGTTCAAGATAACAATTTTTCTATCAATTACCTTTGAAAGAAAGTATGTGAAGATTTTGTTTCCAGATTTTTTTTCATCAAATTTTAATACATGGAATAATGACAAGACGGTAAAGTAGAGGGTGATTTTATTCAGAAATGTAGGTTGAAATGGACGTTGCTCTTTCTTCAATGTCCAAAAAAATATGTCAAAAAAATGTTGTCATTAAAATCACAATTGGAATATCTCATCTTAACACCAGCACATCCTACCAACTCTGTCAGCAACATATTTTCTCGGCATACGAACGTGCGTTTGATTTTTCCTTTCAAAAAACAAAGGTTACGTTTTGATCCAGATGTATAAAAACATTTTTTTAAGTATATGCTTTAAATTCTTCTCTCTGTTTTGTTTAGAGTGATCAGTTTGGAATCTTTTTATTTTCTATAGATTTTTCTCCAAAATGACTTAAAGATCACTATCGTTAGGTTTACGAAATGCATGACGAGTCACAATGAGAAGAGTATTACATGTACATAGAAAGTTCATACGCACCTGTAACTGTAATGAAATGATATTTAAACAATATGAATTAAAGTCTTTAAAAAATTGTTTGGAGATCACTTACCTTTCCAATACACCCAGCACGTCTGCTGCAGCAGTGACGTCAAAAATGACGTACATTTTCATCCGATAAAAGACAAAACCGGCCCGGAGACAAATACGGAATTATTTTAATTTTACTCAAGAAGTAAGCCAAGCCCAAAAGATTTAAAATGAAAAGAAAATGAATTTATTCTTTATCAATTTTGTCTGATAAATGCATTATTACAGAAAAAAAAATTATGAAAGTTTTTTTTTAGAAGGGAAAGGGGGGGGGGATAAACAAAGTAAAACTTTACATGAGTAATTACTAACATTTACAAATTCTTTTGTACACACATATGAGATAAAACTTAACATGTGTATAACATGTGTATATGAATGCACATATATTTTATATAAATTAAACATGTATAATTCATCTGTATTTTCGCACATATATATAATACGTATTATACATGTGTGGTGAAAAACATGTGTTCAACATATATATCATCTCACAGGTGTATTACATGTGTATATTATATATGTTTTACATATAAATGAAACACATATTTTACATGTGTTTATTTACACACGTGTATTACCTGTATAAAACATGTGTTGAACACATGTGAAACCAAACATATGTTTAAAACATGTGGACATTTTCCCTGTGTAATATCTGGTCCAGGAATAATTTCTATGACACAGTCAGTATTTTAATGATATAAAGATGCTTGTATGTAATGAAATTTTATAAACATCTCATACAATTTTGTATTTGATATATTTGGTCTTTTTTTTTCAAATAAAAAAGTATATATTTATATACTAAATTTTGATAACAGGACAGTTATAATTTCAGCAATACTTCGAAGGTATCTGATATTACATATACATTGCAAGGCATCTAATATTTTTAATTTTTAAAAGTGTAAACTTATTATTCTTTTTTTGTTTTTGTTTCTGTGACTTGTGTGTTTACAATGAGGTTTGTAAGGGAAGCAACCCTACCCGGCATGTTCCATCTTTCCCTACAGAAGCTAGGTATCGTCCACTGGGAGAAAACGACAGGAAGTACACCTCATCTGTATGGCCGGTCACTTCCTGTGACAGCTCGGTGGGGACGTGGTACAGGAGGCGCTTGTACTCTCCCCTCCAGCTGATCTTGTCTTGGGCAAGCGGGGCATTCTTCTTTATAACCCTTGTCACCAAATCTCTCCACAAGACTTCATCACTGGCCACTCTGTTCCATTGCTAAAATGTAAAAATAATTCATAAAATCAGAAACAGTCTGTCCTAAAATGTATACATACCTTAATTTTTATTAATTTGTGATAAGGAAAAATATGATGTTAATTGTCTGTGGGTTGGCTGCAGTAATATATATAAAGTTGAGCATGGACACCTATCTAGTCAATCATCTAGGGTCATGTGCAGAATCCAAATCAAATGTGACATATTCACAGTATATATCCTTATGTAAATAGCATTCCAGTTTGATATACACTTGTAACTATAAAAGCTACCCAGGAATTAACCTGCTAAAGTCTAACATAGTTATAATCCAGAAAATGTATACTCGGAACAAGAAGAAAGGCACTTTTACTCATTTTTAGAGGGGGTCATGTGACCCCGTCTATTAGTTTATTGTCAGAGGCCTCAAAATGGAAGCCGTGGTGATAACATATGAATTAAATCTACGCTATATCAAAGAGTGCAGAAATAGTTTTGATGAAAATATAAACATTGTGTATCAAACTTCAGAAAGTGAAAAGAACTTTATTTTAACTCAAATCTAATAAAGTATTTTGAAAATTTTAAACTGAAAATATTAATTGTAAATCACACTAGTTAACAAAGTACACTCCTGTGTATTATTACGCCTACGTAAGCATCATCCATTGTTTACTTCCAGAAGAATATTAATTCGTACCTGGTGAAATTCGGACGGTTCAGAAAGGTTTCCAAACTGAGCAATTATTGAACTTTCTACTTCAAATTAAATGAAAAACGTGAATTTATATTATTCAGTTTTGTTTTTAGTAGGTTAATAAATAAATAAGTTGATATCAAAACTCGTAAAAAATTCTCATTTGTAAAATCTAGCATGAAGATTATTTTGACCCCGTCTTTCAGTACTCCCTCATAGGGATGGGTATCGCCAAAAATTTTGTATCGTGATATATCACGATTTTTTCCCCAGAATATCACGATAATATCATGATATTTTTAAAAGCAGTTTTTACAATGATTTTACATGAAAAGTCATTATTTTTCTAAAAAATATGCTAGAAAAACAAAATTTTACTTTCTTGAAATTTTTATGTATATAAAATCAATTATGTTTGGATGGTAAGATACCGTTCTTTTCACTTTTTACAACATTTTTTGTACTTTCTGTAATTGTAATTTGAAAGATTGAACAAATAAATGTAAAATGAATAATTTCTGGACTTTATAATATGTACCTAAAGACTGGTATTTAGGTCTCCGTATCACGATACGTATCATGCAACAAAAAATCGCAATATACCGGTATACCGATAAAATCGCACATCCCTACTGCCTCAGTACTTTGATTTTAATAATACATTTACATTTATAATATTCCCTGAAGTTTTTCTTAATACTCATGGGCAGAGAAGAATATTTTCAGAGCCTTCATTGCATGCATTAATGCATTTTCCCTATGTTATTAATAAAGCCCTATCCAGACACCAGAACCCCTGACCCAGGAGGTCATGAATTCATCACTTTGGAAGAGGCACCCTTGCTCATCATAACTACATGTATGTACATGCACACAAATTTTACTCCCCTTCTCCCCTTCACCCATAGATGCTATATGTCAAAATTCGTTCAGTGGTTCCAGAGAAGAAACTGAAATGTTTAAAATGTTAATTCATGTTGTTGGATGAAAAACAAATAGCAATATGTCACTGAGTAAACTCAATTGATCTAAAAAATATCCAAAAAAATTCGTGATCAACAACTTCTAGCTAAATTTGTTCAAAATGAGAAACTGACCACACAGGCAGAGGATGCTATGGTAAGAGTCACTCCATCCAGAAAGGAGAAAATGTGCAGGAGAACAGAATCCGGCAACTGCTGAAATAAACTTAGTGAATCGGCCATCTTCTGATGAGCTTTATGTACTTCATCCCATTCCTAATCTCAAGGGCAGGCAACCCTGTGATAAGAATATTTCCATAGTTAAAAGTGTTTTAAAAATGACACGTAATTTTTTTTGCATTATCAGATATATATAAATTATAATATGTATAAATTAAATTTATAAATATACATTTATATGTTATAAACATTAATGATTGCACGTATCTTTGCAAGTTTGGCCCTGATTTTTTACAGGTACTGAATTACCTGCTTCAGAAAATATTTTACCTGAGCATGCAGTTATTTCAACTGCATTGGAATGCATGTCCTAGGGGAACTGATGTCCCCTATAGAAATCAATGCATTCATATAATGAAGTATCCATAAATGAACCACACCTGCAACCTTGCTTCTGATAGGCTGCAAGCTTATCTAGAACACCACTATCACAAAGTCCCAAGTCCTTATACCCTGGATATCTCAAATCCCTGCATATCTTGAAGTATTTTCAGGGGCGTAGCCAGGGTGCTTTTGATGTGGACGCCCGAGTAGGCAGGGGGTTTAGAGACCGACTTAAATCCCAAAGTGGGTCCAGGGTAACGCTCCTTGGGAAGGGGGGAGGGGCAAAGAGGGGGCAAAGCGCCCGAAAGCTAGTGAATTTTCTACGATTTCGATGTGCATCATCGATCCTCCTGATCGCATTTCTCTTACACTTTAAACGTTTGTTACGCATTCATATTCGAGTCCTGTTCTGTTTTGTACAAAAAAAAAAAAAAAAAAAAAAAAAAAACGGACAAATATTCAAAATTGAGATAGGATCTGTCCAAATCGCAGTAGGATTGGAAAGTCAATATTAGAATGTAATGCATTTAGAAAAAAAGCCTCAAAATAAGTAAACAAAATTCCGGGAAAATCTTATGATTTCAGAACGTTGCATATACTATCGTTTCCCCCCTAAAACTGATCCTGTTAATTTTCATTTTTTTTTTTATCGCTACTCTAAATCTTAATTATTTTAATTTTAAAAATTATTTACTTAAAACATATTTATTAACTTTAATTTATTTTATTGCGAAATGATGTGTAAAGTTTAAGAGCATACATTGATATTACCCATGCCCCCTATTTCTCTCCTTTTTTAAAAAAAAAAATGATGTGGACGTTTTTGCGTACAAACGTACGCCTGGCTACGCGCCTGATTTTCTTGATACCATCAAGTTTAAGATTACAAGTTGGCATACAGATGGAAGAATGGCTATAGACAGACTGGAGGACACAGTAGTACGTGCATAAACCCCAACCATGTAAATTCAACATCTAATGATCTATAAAATCGGAGTTTTTTTGTAGAATAAGTGAATTTTTCCCAATACTAGCTACAGGCCCTTTATTTGCTACTTTACATTGATAATAATATCGGTGTCGTGTGTTAAAATGTGCGTACATGTATTTTGATAAAGAGGTAGATGGATGACGACTTTTCAATGATTTTTTTAACTCTGGAACTCTGAATGATTCATTTAACTCTTTAACCCAAGAACACACCAATGGCTTATATCTGACAGTTTAACGGAAAGTGTAAACAAATACTTCTCTCTCCATTTAAGATGAAGATGTGCAGAGATTCTTCACATCATTACCTATTTTGCTGACGATCACTTGGTTGGTTTGTTTTTTTTTTCTGCGATTGATATTACCGTAACCTTTCGATCTCGGTGAAAACGCCCGAGAGGTTACGAATGTAATTAGTCAGCCCGCGGGCTGACTAGTTATGGTACGAAGAACTTCCAATGCGCTTGCGTGACCTGGAATTCTGGGAGTGGTTCTGCAGTAAATCACTCCTGCTAATTTTATTTCAGTAAAATCAATATAGATTATAAACCAACAAATACCTGTTTAACACCAAGGCAATCTGTAAATTTAACTCAAAAAGGATTTTCCCGATGCTTATTACCGTCTTCCTTGGAAGACGGTATTGTATAGTTGAAGTTTTTTACAGTCTTCGGACTATGCACTTCCTCTCTTTTGTGATTGGTAGAAATTGCATGATGAGAAAATTTACAATTATTTCATTGGTTGAAATGCTGTTCAAGGCAAGGGAGATAACTTTCTGATGATCTAATTTTCGTACGACTTAACAATTTTGCAAGATTTCCAATCTTAAAAAAATGACAAAACGAACAGCAAAATCAGCAGTAATTAATTCTTAATAACATGGTATTTTTTTATAGCAATAAATGAATATGACTCTTTAATTTCATTATAAATAAAATTGGATTTTATAGCTTGCAGGCTTTACAATTTGTTATTATTCTTTTCCCCTTTCTTGTTTGAAGAAGGGAAGGGAATCAGCCGAGGTTTGCCGAAAGCTCTCGGTCAGTCAAAGTTTACGGAGATGACCGAGCGACAACCGTGGTAGGGCTAATGCCAGTAAAAAGCTAATGTAGAAATACAAAATTGAAAAGAATTATACGGCCTGATAGGTGTAGATCAGTTTACTGTTTAAGATTGTTGCTAAAGACGGTAAGCTTTTTAGAAAAGCTCTACTTGTTTTTGTAATTGGTTTCAAACAGTTTACTAGTTCGCAGTAATTTAACTGGTTCGCACCTGATCATGTTTTCTACGCAGCAACGCATACAGTTGCTACTGTTGACTGAATTTAGTGTTTGCCGCGTCAGTTGAAGCTCTTTTATAAAATATATTGAAGGTATTTTACTTATGTATATAAATCTACAGCACAAACATTGGTTTATTACATATTTTTAGCTTTTCAGTTTTTACTGCTTTTACTTTCGTTTTCACTACAAATCATTTCGATCCCGATGCTAAATAGCGGACAGACTTGTTAAGTCATACAAAAGATACTTCGGAAAGTAAACACAACTGGCTAAGCTTGCTCGTTTGTTGCCCCCCGCTGAAATTAGAGAATATCAATTTCAGTCTGTCTGTTTGTTCATATATAGTTGTGTCTGTCTGTAACACTTTCACTTTCCCGCAATATTGCGTGAAATCTTTGGGCTTTTGCAGTGAAATTTTACACAACTGTTATCACCTTATATGGCCTTTGGAAGACCCTCTTGATTTTTAGGTCAGAGGTCAAGGTATTAAATTCGGAATTTCTGTCTGTTTAAACACTTGTTTTTGCGCGATATCTCTATAAGCCATTGAGCTTTTGCAAAGAAATTTTATACCAAAACTCCCTATGGCCATATACATGTTCTATATGGCGTAAGGAATACCCCTGTGTATTTTGAGGTTCAAACGTCAATGTCATAAATTCATACTTCTGTGTGACTCTGTGTAAAACTTTCATTTCCAGTCAATATCTCAAGAAGGTTTTGAGTTTTTGCAGTTAAATGTCATAAACCATAACTCCCTATGGCCATGCCCTGCAACCCCCCCCCCCCCCCCCCGATCTGCGCATGCTCTTTTATCCGTAAATTGGCTTGTTTTTCATAAACTACGACCTGATGATCTTGGTTGTGGCAATCATATTTATGAATTAATAGGTTAATTATATAAAAAAGGTCTGATAAATGAATTTATAACTTATAATTTATAAGAGTGTTTCAACCGGCGGCATGATAAACTCTAACAAGGATGATAGTAAAGCTTATTGGGCTTCGTTTTGTTAAAAATGGCATAATGTCCATATATCCCTCTCCCCCTAAAATTTTATAGGTCTGATTATGAGATTGTAGGTTTATAACCTCTTTGAATTATGTTACGTAAATTGGAACTTCAATGTTTATACATACTTTCAGTTCTTTTGATTTTGAGATAAATAATGCAAGAATCTGCATGCACAAATGCTTCTGTTCCTATGCAGAAAAAATATTAAGACGATGTTTCAATTTTAGTGCCCAACTCTGTTACTAATTTAAAAAAAGATTTGTTTTTTAAAATTTAGAAATTTATTTTGTATATTGTTTAATGGACGTTGAGATTGAATACTGTTAGTTATTTCCATATCCTTCTTGAAGGCATTTTTTCAGTTCTCTATATGATTCTTTAAAATATTATCACAGAGAAGAAAATCCACTGGCTGACTCTCTAAGCTTTTTTTAAAAGCTAAACTTGTTTTCCCGTTAGGCTGGTTCCCTTTCCCATCATCTTTCATCATGTTACCTAGAGGTGGTTCCGGATATTTACGGATTATAGAGAAATCTCTGAATAATGACTATCGTTATCTTATTTCCTGATCCCTTCCCGAATTTCAATAAAAAAAAAATAATAATAATCTCTAAAGATTTTAATAAAGTATCTGATACCGGCAGTGTTAGAATTCGACGCGTGTCCATCGGTCCAAAAGTATAAACAGGAATGCAATGCTCCTTTCGACGGCAATCAAAAACTGGATGTTGTCTAGTTTATTGCAAGACATAGGGGTACTAAACATATGACCGAATATTCGAATACAAATTTTCCATTCGAATATCCGTGAAAAACTATTCATTCGCGAATGTTCGAAGATTCGTGAACAGCTCTATCTGAGACCAACCTGGTATAAATAGGATCAATAAAATGAAGTACAGTATGTCCGTTGTGTCCCAGAAAAAAATTACCTTAAAAAAAGACCTAACAAGCAAAAAAAAAAAAAAAAGGAAAGGTCTATTTCCCAAAATCCTATTTCGTGGGGGGGGGGGGGGGGGGGGGGGGGAGGTTCAAACTCCAGTACCAAAATTTTCTTCCAACACCACCACTTTCCCCATTGTTAACCTATACTAAGACGTATCTGTGGAAAGTGGGGGGGGCTAAACCTACGAAGATATGTTCAATGTCTATACTAAGTATATATTTGGAAAAAAAGTGGGGGGGGGGCTAAGCCCCCCCCCCGGTTCCGACGCCTATGCCATTGTGACCTCCTATTTATTTTTTGATCCTACACATATTTTGGGTTTCCCATAGCAAAACGTGGACACTGCCATTATATTCATGTGGGAGGCGGGGTATTATTTAGTGAGCTCATTGCTCACAAGTACATGTACCTCTAGTTTCTATGAGATTCTCTCTATGTCATCCCTGCATCGGAACATTTGTTTTTATACCCCAGCTCAAAAAGCGGGAGGGTGTATATTGATCGGGATATGTCCGTCCGCACGTCTAGCTTAGGCCCATTACAAAATGACTATAGTTATACCTCCTATTTTACTTTTTGATCTGATATTTTATTTCGAGTTTACCAGTGCAAAAGTCGCCCGCGTGGCGCAGTGGTTAAAGCGTCTTCTCTAGAGTCGCAAGTAAGGAGTTGGGTTCTGTCTGTTATGGGGTTTTTTGGGGGTTTTTTTTGCTTTTGTTTTTGTTTTTTTGAAAATCGAATTATGTTTGTTGCTTTTAATTTTCATCTTATCATTATTATTTATTGATTCTTTCTGTGCATCAATGATTCCAAGCTCTGTAAAGTTCTGTAAGTTATCTATTTTGTCTATTTCAAAAACTGACATTATATTTCCGGACTTATCCGAATTTAAAAGTTCAAAGTG